TCACACTTGAATTAAAAGAGGGTACTTTTTGGAGGAGTCAAAATTTGGTGGGAACATCATCTGATACCAGAGGTCTGGAGAAACATAAACAACATGAAAGGCTTTAGATAAATGCAATGCTAGATCCTATTTGCCTGGAATACTTCAAAATGTTGCACATACTGAATCCTGCGATTTTCATTGTGGCACGTTTGATGGTCGGCATCAGAAGCTCTGTAGTCAGTATTTTTTCCAGTTTCTTATTGTCCTCAAGGACCTGAATCTCTAATCCAAAAAAATAAATAAAAGGTACACATTAATAAACCGCATACAAGTTTTGAACAACTTTAAGGTTAGTAAATGAAGATAGAAATGTAATTTTTATGAACTATTACTTTATTTATGTAGCTCATGTAAAAGTGGTTGGATTGAACAGATACTAGCACAAACCTTTAGCGGGCCCTCTGTTGTCCATCAGTGTAAACAGCGGAAGCCCTGGTCCTGTAAAATCAGTGTTTATTAGATTGAGCACACACTCTCCTCTCTCAGTAAACCTCAGATCAGCCGAGGTATAGTTCAGCTGTTTGTCATGAGTGAATCTCACAGGCGTGAAAGCGTGCTCACTAACCGTAGCAGTCCATACGGAAGAAAGAGGCATTCAGGCTGAAGTAAGCAGAGTTATACTGACACCTGTCCTGGTACAGCGAACAGGTGAGGCACTCGGGGGCAAGATGTCCACTCTTGCTTATAGAAATCCTGAGAACAAGAGAAAGTTTTTTTTTTATATTTCTCAGTGAAAATTTTGGATGGGAATCATTGGAAAATTCTGAAAAATTCTAATTCTAAATTTCTTCTTTTTTGCTCGGTGTTGTTATTGTGTGGTCTTGTGCTATTGTATATGTCGTTTGTGCCATGTCTATGTAGAAAGTGTAAAGTAGTCTTTGATTTGATACATTTAAAAATTAATTCTACTTTTGTATTTCTGTGCAGACAAAATAATTTGTGACCCTGGAGCACAAAAGCAGTCTTAAAGGGGTCATATG